AGAGAGAGAGAGAGAGAGACGAGAATAGACTGAGGTAGATGTGGAGAGTGAAAGTCTTACGTAGGAACGACGCACAAGATGCGCCGGTCCCGTAAGTAAACTAGATGGAATAAATGCGGGATAACTTTTCATTAGTCCGATGATACGAGGGCATGCGAAAACGACGACGGCATTCCGACGCTCCCCTTCTGAAGCAGCAGTGGCTGGACATGTTAATTGGAGTCCTGAGAATGCGTCTGAGAAAATGTCATGTTATACGAATTACCGAGCAAAGCGGAAATCGCCGATCTTTCGAGCTTTGAGTTTCTTCACTACGGACTTTAGCTTTCATTTTAATTGGACTTGCGAATTTCTTTTTATAGGATTGAATGCACACGCGAGTTTTGTTTTTTCTTTTTTTTTTCTTTTATACACGTATACATGAAACACGTTGCAGAAAACGGAAGTGTTTCTATTGTTATCATTGAGATCGGCATTACCAAATTGCTGATTAGAAATATTAGTTTTTTTTTTGCTTAACATTTTATTTTCGATACTTCTTTTATTTAAATTATTCTAAAATTTGAATATTAGTATTGAATTATTTAAATTAAAGGTACTTTTTGAGTTTGAAAGAACTTGTTATTCTGAAGTGCTTTTTGTGGAATAAAATAAAGATGATTGATGATTACGACGAGTGTTACTTAATAGATAGATGGTGAAATAAAGTTTTTAGTTTATTTTCACAATGGAAAAAATTTTGTTGAAATTAATGTATTTATGGTTTAGTTAGACGCATCAACGGATTCCATATACCTAGCCAGTCTCGCGTTTATCCTTCTGTTATAGACTTGACCTGCATATCTGCATATTAAATATCTAATTTCCGCGTCTAATAATAATTAATAACAAATAATATACTTTTACTGTATGTCTCTTTTTTAATTTAATATATTTATTTTTTCAATCAATATTTATATATTTATACAATATTTTATACTGCGTTCTTCACAGATTAGATACACGCTAAATGTAAAGTGCGTTACGATGTAATGTGAAACAGGTCGATCTCTTGGCTCTCAGAGGAAACCGATATATCCCGCCTAAACATACATAACACACACACATACCAGACACATAATATATTCATACATATATACATGTACACAAATACATATCTTACACGTACAAAGCGTCTGCGTATATTTGTTTCGCGGCCCGTTTCTTTCTTTGTAACGCTTCCGAGTCCCTTTTCCGATTTCCTTTCGTCGGCCAACAATTCGTTTTCCCGGCCGCACGGAAGCCGCCGGGAGGCACGGCGAAAATGAGAAATAGAGGAAAGCGAAA